AATTAATCTTGAAATGGGGTAAAAAGGGACACTTGAAATAAAACTCAATTTCAAACATTTGAAGCATGCTGAGTGTACTCATCTATTACTAACAGTACTCTGAAGTCCTCCTCTTTCATTGTAGATGATGTAGATGTAAAATAAATTACATTTTCTGTGATTTTTACTTGCTTTTCCTTTATTGATATGATATTACCATATTCAATAATTACTGTATTATTAATGTGATATTACTGTATCCATGGACATGCCATTGAGTATTAACAAGAACTTTGTCCACTGCAAGCTTCATATCAGCAGCTATGTAGCATATCTTCTGTATCTGTAAGCTTACAGGATGGTTTGTAATTTTGCACAATTTTAATCGAGCCTAGTGATTTCACTATAAAAAAAAATTGTGAAAAACATACCTGAAACAGAAAATAATGTTTTAGTGACAACCATCATATGTTTTGAAGAAATAAATCATAGTTTAGGTCAATTACTTATCATTCTATGATGCCTATGCACAATTCTATATATAGCATTCTATGTACAATTTTGTGACGACCGATGATGCACTAATTTTTCAACAAGTGATTTTATTTTGCCGAGCGAGGTAAATGTAATAAAAATTCTTTGTTGTTAATCAATTTTATTGTTAACTGGAGCCTTTGCTAACTGAGGTTCTGGGTGTCCCGAGTAACCCTGCCGTGCAGAAATGGCTGCCATTTTTTTTCTGGATTGAGATAGGCAAATTCTGTCAATTAAGTTTTCAAGCTGACACCTGGGTGCAACTTTTATGTAAGTAAAATTTTTCAATACGGCAAATATTTTTTTGCTCCAGACCTTAGCAGAGGTATATACTTTTCCAAAATCACACTTTTCACACTTTTTTTCAGTGATTTTTTAGAGATAGTAAATGTTTGATTTCTTGACTAACTTTATACATAATAGATAGTAAAAGTGTTGAAGTTTACGCCACTATTTTTCGTTTTGCAATATTTTGATTTGTTTAGCTGCTACAACATTTCTACGAAATGTGGGATGCACGTCCCTATTTACCCCGCCCATCCCTTTTTACCCCATTTGACGGTATATAAAATTGTGCACCAGGCATCATAGAATGAAAAGTAATTGACCTAACCTACAATTTATTTCTCCAAAATATATGATGGTTGTCACCAGAACATTCCTTTCTGTTTCAGGTATGTTTTTCACAATCTTTTTTTATAGTAAATTCACTTAACCCAATTAAAATGGTGTGAAATTACAAGCCATCCTGTAAGCTTACAGATACAGAAAAATGCGATAGGGCTGCTGATATGAAGCTTGCAGTGGACAAGGTTTTTGTAAATGCTCAATGGCATGTTCATGGATAAGGTAATATTGCATCAATAATACAGTAATTAATGTACAGTGGGGGGAAATAAATATTCGTACACTTGAAAAATCGTATTTTAATGTATGTAAGTACACAAACTTAACAGGAAAAGTGATTTAAATTATGCATAGAGACGCATAGTATTCAAAAATACTATCAAAAGAAATTAAATCTCAATGCAACAAAAAACAATGCAACATGTTCACTTTTCGGGGTGAAAAGAGTATTCGTACAAAACAATAAATCCGCATTATTTTAATTTAATAGTTGGTTGAATACCCTTTATTCAGCTCAACAGACACCAGTCTATTTCTATACGTCTCGACCAATGATTTGCAGATGCTGACTGGTATTTTATACCATTCTTCTTGGCACACCACCTTAAGATTCTCAATGTTTGTTGGGGACCTTTTCTTAATTTGAATCTTCAAATACCGCCACAAATATTTAATCGGATTTAAATCCGGCGATTGGCTTGGCCATTCCATAACGTGTACATTTCTATCAGCGAACCATTTCTTTGTGGATCTTGCAGTATGCTTAGGATCGTTATCCTGCTGGAAAATCCAATCACCAGGTAGCTCTAGTTTCTCAACAGAAGTCGTCAAATTATTTTCCAGGATGCTCTGGTAGTTTGCAGCATTCATCCTACCATCTATAAGTGATATGT